TTCACAGAAATTAATATAAAGAAACCTAAATGATTGGGCGATAGGTTCGGCTACTTACAGGAGAATTGAAGAGAATGAGACTTTAAACTTGAGACACTTCAGGCCTGTATTTAAAAAAATAAAAAATAAAAAATCGTGAATAAAATAAAATAAATATTTCAAATAGAAAATTCTTTTTGGTACCAACAATCTCTCTGTAACCCTTTTTCACAGTCAAGTATTCACGCTGAAAATATTACTTGGGTGCACCCTTTTTAAATCTACAATTCAGGCTTAATCCAAAATGAGAATTGCAAAATAGAATTCACAACACATGGATCACATCATTTCACAGCAACAAGACCCTTGAATTGAAATAGTTTTCCACGAGCCCACACCAAGTACACTTCCTCCAGTGAGTGAAGGTGAGTATAGTCCTTAAAAGTCCTTAAAAGTTCCAAATAAAATGTCCAAAAGTCCCAGTAGTGTGTGTGTGTGTGTGTGTGTGTGTGTGTGTGTGTGTATAAGAGGGGCAAGTATATTATGGTGGGGAAGGGTCTTTTGTTGTTGCTGTCGCTGGCCTACCACACTGCACCGTGAAGTGGAAGAAGGCTTCAACCAGTTCGTCCACAGGATTGGCTCGCCATCAACATTTAATCCACCCAGCAAAACGGGGGGGACACAAAAAAACCTGACCGATCTCACAAGGGAACAAGGCAGAAACACACGATAGCGCTGCCTGGAAACTTTGAATCTCTCTCAGCTTTTTCTATGAATCTCCGTCTTCGCTTTCAGCCTGCTCAGAGCTCGCGGCGAAAAGAGGGAGAGAAAGGCCCGCTTCCTGAGCTGGAGGTGGAGGGCGGGACAATGCGCCGTTTTGCAGCAGCTCATTGGCTAAGAGCCGTGCAGCTCATTGGCCAAGAGCCATGCATGCTCTTAACCCTTAAATTGCTGAATCTATTTATCAGGGCAAAATGTAACAGCTAAGATGAACTACATCACATTTACTGAAGCTTTTATGCCGTTGATCATAACCATATTTATATGTGGGTTACAGTTGCGTTTATGAAATCAGTGAACTGCTTCAGAGAAAACGAAATTTTATTTTTGCATGCAACAAAAACATTTTGAACTCCAAAAAGAAAAAAAAGACGCTGGGTTGAAGGTTACTTTCAAATAAAATACTCAGTGTCTATTTGAATTCTCCTTGTATTTATGAAATATAAAGCAGATCTTAAATTATTCACCTGCAGCAAAGTAAAATTGCCATCTCGCTGTCCTGCTGACTGCAGCTGGGACTGCTGCTCCAGACTGCTGACCGCCTGTGAGTGCTTTGGGACGGGGAGGAGCTCACGGCAGCACCCACTGCTTGCTGAGGACAGTAACTGCAGAACAATATGTGTTGTCACGTCAGAGTCTCCAAAATACCAGAAAAGTCTTCAATAACACCAGAAAGATTTGTCGCTATTTGCTTTTGACAAAAAAAGTCACCAAGAGGATTTGGAAAGTTGCCAGATTTAGGAAGAAAGTCATCAAGTTGGCAACAGTGCGTGTGCTGGCGGGTGTCCCACATTGGCGGTTGTGACGCATATTTTGAGCGACAAAATAATTAAACATGTTTTTTTTTTATGTTACAAGTTCACAAAAATCTTCAAATTTATAATTAAATTTTAAAAAATAGGGCTACAAGGTGGCTTGGTGGTTAGCACCGTTGCCTCGTAGCAAAGAAGGTCGCCGGTTCGCACCCCAGAGAGGACACACTTGCAAGGAGTTTACATGTTCTCCCCATGCAGCGTCGGTTGTCCTCCCACACGGTCCGAAAACATGTTGTGGTTAACTGGTGATTCTAAATTGTCCATAGGTGTGAATGTGAGTGTGCTTGGTAAGTGTAGCCCTGCGATACACTGGCGACCTGTCCAGGGTGTCCCCTGCCTTCGCCTTAAGTCAGCTGGGATATGCTCCAGCCCCCCGCGACCCTGGTTAGGATTAAGCAGTGTATAGATAATGGATAATGGATGGATTTTAAAAACTAACAAGCTAAAATAAAATACATTTAAATTAAAATACTCATTATTTATTTTCCAAAGCCACAAGGAGCCGCAGCAGAAGTATGAAAGAGCCACATGCGGCTCCGGAGCCGTGGGTTGCTGACCCCTAGATGTAGCCTGTTAATTAGTGAGTGTTAGAGGTGTTGGCAGGCAGATATTGTTACATTACCTTGCAGAAACACACTTGTGTTTCCTCCTGTTTCCAGAGTTTATGCAGAGCTATGCGAACTGGCTGGTGGCCAAAGTTTTATATTCATGAGACAGATAAGAGGATGGTATCAATCCTCTCATCTAAATGTTGGCAAGAATAAGCACATTTCCTGACATGTCAAAATATTGCTTCACATGCTGAGTGAGATGGAGAGTGAAAATAATATAATGATAACAATAAAGGTGCTGTTCAGTCACAACGGGAGATTCCTACAGTGGTCAGAGATGTAACTCACCTAATTTCCAGTTTAATTTTTATTTACTGGAGATCAGTAGGCTAATATTTAATGTATGAGTCTTTAGGCATCTGTTAGTGTGTGTGTTTGTTTGGTTCCCATAGAGCAGTGGAAATGTGTTGCGTTATAGGTGTCTATCGCTTGTCTCCTCACTTAAATCTCTACTTTCACATTCCTGGAGGCTGGTATTGGAGCTAACACCCCTCCTCTTTGCACCTTTGCACAGCCTGTGTGTGTTTGTGTGTGCGTGTGTGCATGCGTGGGTGGGTTGGTGGGTGGGAGTCGGAGATGGTGCTGTCTTCTATTACTCTGGGTGCCCCCTTGCTGAGCTGTCATCACGCCCTGGCACCGGGTACACAGAACAGCTGCAGGGGAACCACTCTGCAGGGAACCTTCGTTTCCATCTGTCTCCAATTCACAGTGGCACCTATTTAGAGCAGCTCAGCGGCTGTGCATGCCACGAGCCACAAGAGAGAAGAAGAGGGCATAGGGGGGTCAAGAGAAATGGGCATCATGTTTGAGTTTAGGGCAAAAAGATTATGGGCTTTTATTTTTGACTCAGGCATAATAGGCCTATCATGTACGACAATTGTATTAATACATCAGCCTCAGTTAAACATTTTGCATTTTTTAGTTAATTTGTGCTGTAATCAGTTTTGTCATCAAATGTCAGGTGTATTTTTTTAAGACATGAAAGAAATGTTCATTTAACAGATAAAAGAAAAACACAATCCAAACATAGCGCTTTATGCTTTGATGCAGTCAAACAGCCAACCTAAAAACATCTGAAAACACGTGTATTATGAACAATATCACCTGCAACCCCATTCCCCCCATATCAGTGTAATATCTCTCCCCATCTGTGTGTGTGTGCGTGCATGTGTCACAATGTGTGTCCAGCATGAGCATATACAGTGTGTTATTCCTGAGCTCGCGTCTGCGTGAGTGTGAGGCTCGGCTTAATTTAGCAGGTGTGCTTTGACAGTTCTTGAATGAGTGCCAAGTCTGCTGCAAGAAGGATAAGAAAGAGGAGCGCTCAATGTGCATCTGTGTGGAGCTCGACTGTGACAGATGGGGACGGTTTAACTTATAGAGTTCTGTTAAGATCTGGAGGTTTTTCCTGAAGCTGTCTGTGCCAAACAGGTGTGTATTCTAAAAACACCACAGAGAGAAAAGGTGAACAAGCCTCGACTGACTTATTTGTCTGGTAGTGGTGTTTCCAATGATAGAAGGAGGTTGCCAGTGTATACTCAGTCTTCCCCCCCCTTCTCACTTTGTGTGAGTGTAAAATCATTGTAGTTATTCCCTTTGGACTATATGCTAGCCTACAGTATTCTCATTCATCCTTTCTCACTGTTGGCAAAAGTGAAACAAAGCCCCTATGAACAGTTTACTGTGAAATGAGGCTTTATTGTTTACTCTGAAATGAGATTTCGGTATAAAAAGTTTAGCATTAAAGTTCTGGCAACTGCAACATCAATTTATTTAGATCATCCAAGCATAAGCACAACAAAGAATTTTAGCTTCAGGTACTGCTCTTACCAGCAGCGTCTTCAGAGTGTACAAGATAATAATTACAAATATTTAAGATGTGAATTTATCAAGTAAGGTTAGTTTATTTCAGTGATATTGAGAATATACTGTAAGTCAGCACTTGCAAGGTTCCATCATTCTATTACTTTCAAGCTTTTGCATTGTTGTGTTTTCTGTTTCTGTGTAAAATCAAGCTGTGTTAGTTAGTTAGTTAGTTGTATTTTTTTGCAATTCTGTATATGCTGGCCCAAAATGCTATGAGGATAGCACAGAGTTGAAAAGTTCAGGCAGTTAGTAGTGTCCAGGTGTCTCACAGGCAGGCAAGACGCTTCACCATATGTCTGCTCTCACCACCAGACGCCAGCCGTCCCAGCTACTGACTTTCACATGCTTTACTTGTGCTGCACAAGGTGAAAAGTTGCATCCTGTCTAAGCCCTGCCCAACATGCTGAAAGAACACTGTTTTCACCTCACATTCAGAGAGCAGAGAAACTTGTTCGGTCAGCGCAAGGAAATTGTGCTGTCATTACAAAAAGACAATCAATAACCCCGGCGAGAAAACAAGGAGTGGCAGATTTGTGTGCGTTTCCTCTGGATTCCTGATATACCAAAAAAGTTGCAGATTATTTTGCTTCTCTCCTGCATGCTGATTGGAGTTTTAAAGAGGTAATGAAGTCCCGGTGTGTCCTCCTGCTGGGTTCGTATTTGGTGAGGGGTGCCTGTGTGTCGCTGATAGAGGGATCTCTCTGACACGGCTGCTCTGGCCCACCGCATCTGGGAGCCAGTAGCAGCAGCCGCTGGGGGGAGATAAGGCGAGGCTAGCCGCTCGCCTGTGACTCACGTTTTGCCCCCCTCTGCCCTGTTCTCCTCTCCTCCTCTGCTCCTCCCTCCAACCATCTTCCCACCCATCATCCCCCTGACCTTATCTCGGGGGAGAAGGCACCACTGGGTCGCTACTGTGATAGCACCTGCCAGAACCAGAGCTGGCCTCTGGTGATTATGGGGGAACCATTATCTCTCTCTCTCTACCCAAAAACTCATTTTATACCTGCCAACATCTGAGGGGAGGAGGGGGCAAAGGAGCAAAGGCTTCTATAACAGGTAACACAGAGGAAAACTGTATGTGTGCTCACATGTGTGTCAGGAGAGTAGGTTTGGGTTGCAAAAAAATACATCCACCAAGACATCTTATGGGTTTTCTTTGCCATGTAGGATTAGAATTTAATATGGATGTGATGTTAAATGTGAAGGTGAAGATTATGTTTGATGGTTGATCATCTGTTTTCAGCCTGCTATTACATTATGTCTATATAACCTGCCATATGGGCAAAATGTTTTATGGAAGGGTTACATCATGATCACAAAGTGGATTTCCAAGTTGAGTGAAGGTTAAGTAACTTTCATTAAATCGGATGTTGTGGGAGAAATTATGTTCTGTTTGATGCCGTGTTGGATATACGTGAAAAATTATTTTAATTTTAAATTTCGAGTTTATACGGGGCTTAGCACGAGTTCAGTCACTTCATTCCTAAATTCCGAAATCTGTTGCTTTTACTCTGCCATTATTTGCTCCCTTTGATTAGTTCAGCTACTCATCTTTGCTCTTTTCTCACATAATCCC